TGGGATTTGCCGCTTCTCTGAACTACTCAAATTTTTCGCTACCGGTTCTATAGAACTGTCAGAACCGGCTGAATACCACCTCTGAACCTAATCCTTCTGAAACATGACGGGGAGGTCAGATTCTGGATTCCAATTCCCATTGGCCTTTAAGCCTTTTTGGGGTGGGGGAAGGGTGAGAAATCTCAGAAAATATCCAGCAAAGGTGAGGAATAGTGAGGGCGGGATAAAATTGTATTCCAGCTCTGGCTTTCTGCCTTGCCTCAAAACACTAAAGATGTTTAGAACCCTGGAAATAAAGGAATCTAAATTTGCTCCCATTTGCTTCCTGCTGCTATTTTCTCCATTGCAGGTAGTCCTCGACTTGCAACAGTTCCTTTAGTGACCAAAGTTACAACAGCACTGGAAAAAAAGTGAATTATAACCCTTTTACACACTGACGACCCTTGTAGCATCCCTATAATCATGTGATCAAAACTCAGATGCTTGGCAATGGGTTCATACTTACGACTGTTGCTGTGTCTTAAGATCTCGCGATCCCCTTTTGCAACCTTTTGACAAGCAAAACCAACTGCAGTGATTCACTTAACCATTGTGGCAAGAAAGGGCGTAAAATGGGGCAAAAGCTCACTTAAAACAAACATCTCACCGAACAACAGAAATTTTGGGCTCAATTGTGGTCGTAAGTCGAGGACTACCTGTAGGAATGATGTTTTAGCCTCAAAGTGACCCTACTCGCCCAAAGAGTAAGTCGGTCAAAGTGTTGCTGCTTATATAGAATTCAGAAAATGCTGTGCTTGGAATTTTTAATGCCTTTCTCTTCTCTTCTCTTAATAGTGTACTATGAGCCTCATCTACTTGACCGTCGAAGATGTCTTTCTGCTTATTAACTATTTCAGTTTCAGCTATTGGTTCTTTGTCGGGTTGTCCATTGCTGGACAGCTCTACCTCCGCTGGAAACAACCAGATCGCCATCGACCACTCAAGGTAGGAAACGAACACAAGATTAAACCAGTCGTTTATAGAAAAGCAATCACTGATATTTTTTTTGCAAAGAGGTTAAGACTACAGTGGTACCTTAATAGGTAAAGGTAAAGGTTCCCCTCGCACATATGTGCTAGTCATTTCCGGTTGTAGGGCTCATCTCCGTTACAAAGCTGAAGAGCCAGCATTGTACGAAGACGTCTCTGTGGTCATGTGGTCAGCAGGACTAAACACCTTCAAAGGTGCACGGAATGCTGTTCCCTTCCCACCAAAGGGGTCCCTATTATATACTTTCGAACTGCTAGGTTGGCAGAAGCTGGGCCAAGTAACGGGAGCTCACTCCATTATGCGGCGCTAACTGCCCACCTTTCTGATCGACGAGCTCAGCGTCTTAGCCACTGAGCCATCGCATCCCTCTAGGTACCTCGATACTCGTCATTAATTGGTTCTGGGAGATGCAACAAGTACCAAAACAATGAGTACAAAACAAACTGGAAAGGGCCAGCAAAGTACAAAGCAGCCAACACTGACAAGTTCTAGCTTGGGCGTTGAGTACCAACCAAACAAACAACGAGTACCGGCACAAAATTTTCCACATTAAAATGCGCTGAGTTACCAAATTCAGTGATTTTCAAAGAGGAACACTATACTTTGTTGTATTGGGGGTGGTCCTGGTTTTTTCTGTGGGCCTATTAGTAATTTCTGAATGGGTGAAAGGTTATTTCTGGAAACAGAACAGTTAGTCTTTGAGTTATAACCACAATTGTCATCAGAATTTCTATTCCTAAGCAAAATCAGGCCTAATTTTATTACCTTTTGGGTGCATTGTTAAGGGGTTCACTGCAGTTGAGGTCAGATGGCCATGGAGATGCTATGATGGTTGTAAGTGCAAGGACCAGTTGTAAATAACCTTTTTCAGTGCTGTTGTACTTTAAGGGGTTGCTATATAAACGATTGTGAGTTGAGGACTACCTCTAATGACTATGGGAAAAACTGTACATTGGAACATGACTTCTTCCTCTTCCTCCTTATTCAGTGCTGTATTTTCTGTTTTCCAGCTGAGCCTGTTTTTCCCAATCGTCTTCTGTATGTGCTCGGTTTTTTTAGTGGTTGTGCCACTCTACAGTGACACCGTTAATTCTCTGATTGGCATTGGAATTGCACTCTCTGGAATTCCAGTCTACTTCATGGGGGTCTACTTGCCTGTATCCAAAAGGCCACCTTTGGTCAGCAAAGTCTTAGGTAAGGATTGTTTTCATGGAGCATAGAATAATTGGCTTGGAGGTCTTCTATTTCAACCCCCTGCTGATTATCTTTTATTGAGGTCTTAGTCAACTGCACTGAATGATGGGATATTCCACATGCCACCCTTTCCATACCACTCCGTGTCTTACAGCTAGCTGTTCACTCGTTTCAGTAGTAAATGTGAATAAGGGTATGTTAGCTTTTTCCCGTCTTCTTAGGCAACTGTAACAAAAGAAAAACTCTGGAGAAGAGCAGATATGGGTTGGGTTTAAGAAAATTTACACTTATTCATAAAGGTCTTCAGTTTAAATTTGCCATTTATATCATGTGCAGGCAGTCAGAGCCAGTCATGAACAGCTAAATATAAGCAACTTTATTGCTTTCTACTTTTGTTACAAGAATCTTCCCCAGGCTACTTACCTACCCCTGGGAATAACCAGATCCCTTCATGGAACTTGGGGTGGGGGGGTCAAGCTTATTATACTTATTTATTTATCAAACATGTACAAGATAGCATAAACATAAACATAAATAAATTGTTACTGTGTAACAATTCCAAGCTAGTTCCTAGCTTGACCCTCTCATTCCAGCGTAACTGGCAGTTTCCCAAATTTTAATCTGGCTAAAAAGATGGGATGCTCTGCATTTAAATTGTACTGCAAATGCTGAATTGGAAGTTTAGACCTTGACTTTCAGCAAAGAGGAAAGTCCAAGACAAAGAGAAGCATGTAAGGAACAGTATGGTTGGGTCCATTTTTGTGCAGATGGAAACCTCATGTCCACTGTTAAATTTAGTCTCAGCGGAGGAAGGAATAATGTTCATCTCAGGAGAAGTTGTGTTGGTGGTAGATTACAGAGAAACTCTTTCCTTTTTCGAAGCAGTTAATGTTTGGCTAGTGTAATATCTGCTCAACAGATAAGCAGGCATTGTTACTAAAGGAAACATTACAGTGTCCACAATTTATGGGAAAATTAAACTGGGTGATTAGATTTGCAGTGGATGCCTAAAAACAGAAACATCCTCTGCTTTAAGACGTCCCAGGTCAGTCTTGATTTAGCAAGCTACTCGATTTTGAAGTAATCGTTCACAATTACACAGTTCACTCTCAAATCTTCTCCTTCCCCAGGTGCTGTCACTCGATCCACTCAGTTAATTTGCTACTGTGTTCTGACAGAAATGGATGCTGTCGAAGAAAAAGAAGAAAACAAATCTAATTAAAGACTGAAAAATGGAGATCAACCAGCTGCTCGGATGAAGGTCTGCATGTGCAAGCGCAGTCCAGATCTTCTCTCTGGATTTGGAGATTCTATCCGGTTGACATAATTTTGGTTGCCTTTTCGCTTGTTAGTTTTGTAAAAATGGGAAAACTCACCACCAGGATTCTCAGGCGTAAAATTCACCACGGTTTTTAATCCGACGTTTTTCAACGGCCAAATCAAAGGTCTTTAATGAAAGTGCCCGAAGATGAGGATGTGGACATGAGACAATTAGTGTGTCAAAAGGAAATATCTTGTGCAACTTACTAGAATTGGAAAACTTCATCAGGTCTACCAAGCAATCAGTTGTTTAATCCTGCACTGATGATTGTGACCAGCTATTCCACCCAAGTGATTGAATATGCTAGGGAGATTGTTTGCTTTCTGATCTTTAGAAGTAGTTTATCTCCATCCTTCATCCACAGCACATAGCCTCAAGACGTTCAGAAGCTACTGGTCATCTCTTCTCAACTTCAATTGCTTTGTTCAAAGCAGAGGTTTAGATGGAAGTGTATTTTGAGTAGGTCAAACTGGAATCAACTCAACACGGTAGGGTACTAAGCCTAGGGCCTTGAAGTCAACATTTGAGCATAATAAGCACATTTCTTCATTTGGCTTTCTCTCAACGTTGGGCATTGGACACGTCAAATTCATGCTGCTTCAGCCCTCTGATTCTTTAAGGATTTTATACAGAACTGTTTTTGGTGTAATAGTTGGACTTGTCCTGAGGATCTTTTAAAACTTTTATTATTGAGTTCATAGAGTTAAAAATGCACATTTTTAAGGCACTTTCTTTAATGCAAGTAGAAAAAAGTTTCTGTAAAGCGGTATAGGGAGAAACCATGAAGCTATTTTCTGGGGCAAATAGTTTCTCAGTTGATTATGCTAGTTGTTAGTATAAACAAGGGAAAGCTTAAGAACAGGGATTCAGGCCCAATGTAGTCTGACAGTCCACTTGACTTTATCAATGTCTTGATTGTCCATTTATATCTTCTCACTGTGGGACCACATTTCCACCATTATCAGCTGCAAATCAATATCAATAATTTTTTTTATTAGAAAAGGTTGCTTGGGCCTTATTAAAGCACTCTCAATTCTGAATGCACATCTTGTTTACCCCCCAAGCAGACTTATCTTTTCAAAAGTCTGTCATGTTATGTCTTTTTGTGGCTCTTGGTTGTTTCTAGAGGCACAGATCTTTCAAAGAGGCGAAATGATAGAAACGTCCATTTCTTTGCTGCTTCTTTGTATACAGTTTGTTAAACTGATGGGTGCTAAAGAATAAAAATGTAAGTACTCTCACAATGGATTACATCTGAGAAGAGGCTCCTTTATCAGTTGTGAGCTTTGCTCACTTTTAATCACCTAGTCTATGTGTATGTGTAAATTTCCAGAGCATAATTGTCAAAATAATTGGTACTGTGTTTTTAAGCCCATCATGTTATAAATGGAAAGTAGTTAGTTAAAAAAATACAGAGCTATACATATAATTATTCAGGTTTTTTTTTATTCAAACAAAAAATGGGATTTGCTTTCAGATTTGAATCCAGTTATAATCAAGTCTGACTATCTGTCTAGAAAGAGGTGTGCTATTTATTGTATTGGTGAATAACCCAGAAAGCAACAGTTTGAAGCTTTGTTTCTCAGTCTTTATGAAAACCAAATGATTTGAATCAACCACATTAGATCAAAACTGTCTCAAAAATGTACTACATCTTTTTATCGGTGCTTTTTAATTAGGTTTCCGTCTCATAGTGCAATAGAAATGTGGCCAATAAATGTTTTATTTAGTTTAACAGGATGGCGTTAAAATTTTAAACTATACCCTGGATTGTTTTTATACTCCATTCTGCTGTTAAAATGCGTTTTGTTTTATAGGAGGACTGAACTGTTTATCTCCTGATCCGATCAGTTAGTTGCCACAACAGCAAATTTTGTAGTTCCTGTATGTACAAGAACTGTAAAGGGGGAAAATTAAAATTCCACCATGTGGAAATTTAAAAAAAAATGAGAACATGAGTCAGTTTGTGAAGGAAAACTTATGTTTCATTAATGCTAACTATTTTCTGCGTGAGACTCTGACCTTATTTGGCAGCTAAGCCAGACACTCCATTTAAGCAGTCTTGTAAGAAAATTGCACAGATGTAACCAGGTCACCCAAGGCAAACTCGAAAGAGAGTAGAGTATCTCTACTGCTTTACCTGCAGCCAAGAATTGCAAAGAATGCAAGTAGCATTCTATTGCAGATATTGTAAAGTTTGGACCCATAATGCTAAACCATCATTTTCAGTTTCCAGGGGCTGGCACAGGTCAGCTTCTCTAGTTCGCTTCTGTCAAAATGCCAGTTAAACTGTTGAAGCAAAGATGGTAAGTTATAGCTAATCCTTGGGTTACAAGGTGATGTGATTGCTTAGCAAACCGACAACAATCTCAGCAGACCCAGTTCTGATTCTTTAAGACGTGGGTTAAGTGAGAAATGGCAAGAGTTAAGGAGCATAGGAGTGCTGCAGGGGAATGGGGTAGGCCCTAAGTCCAGATCATTAGAATTAGGTAAACAACAATCCAATGAAGGAACTACCAAGATCACGCGCACCCACACCGACAGGGCAATGAGAGCAAACCCCACTTCCTACTAGCATTGATGATGTTACCTAGTTGGGTAATGAAAGGTCTGCAAGAAAATAACTTCAGGGAATACCAAAGATCCCACAACTAGGTTTTGCAAATCAAAGAGATGGAGATAATCAATATACTAGGCTTGATAGTTTATATTTAAAAAATCCTTATGTAATTGAAGGTACTTATTTTGTTGGCATTGTCCTTTTCTGTACAATGAAGCAAAAGCTATGGTTTTCCATGCTCCACATGTAGGACTAGTAAAAGGGGATGGACTAGAGATGTTTATCTATAAACTACAAGCACTTCACTCGGAACTAATTTGATAAACTCATAGAACATAGAATAATAGGGTTGGAGGGGACCTTGGAGGTCTTCTAGTCCAACCCCCTGCTCAAGCAGGAAACACTATACCATTCCAGACAAATGCTTGTCTAGTTTCTTCTTGAAAACCTCTGATGATGGAGCACTGCAATAAACACCTAAGGAATACAAGAAAGCATCAGCTAAATAATGGCTAGTAAAAAAAATATTTTCCTTCACAGAACTTCCACAGGGAAAACAAGGTCAGGCAAACTTCAAATTCTGTATATTTTAACTACTATATTTGTAAACTATGCAAAGAAAAACAAGTGAGAATTATATTAAAGTGCAGAAATTTCCAATCTGAATGATCATTTTCAAGTACAGACCTATCTACAGTGATCCCACAATGCTTGCCAAAGAACAAACTATTTGCTTCAATAAGGTTAACAACAAAACTTCCAATTTTGTAGTAAAGATGATCTTTTTAGGAGACTTTTTTTCTGGAAACTTCTGCCTTGAATGTCAAAAGGAGTCGTCAGGCATCCCAAAATGGCCAAATCTATCTTGTCAATTTCAGGCTTTTCTTGCACAACGCCATGGTTGAGATCCAAAAATTACAAACGTCACTTGGATCAAGGCAATCTGCTTTCTCTTGATTTGAAGATGCTCTGGTCAAAAAACAGCATGACACGTGAGGGTTGTGGTGCCACGATTTGCTAAGGGCACATCACACATGGGGGCGGGGCGGGGGGGGGGGGAGGAATCTCAGGAATCCTGCAAGCTACTCGGAATCCAGTTCCTTGACTCCATCATATTCAAACTCCTGCAGGACTTCAGATTCATACTTCTCCCATGATCGCCTGATATATCCACAATCTTCATCACTGGTGTCTCCACTGTTTTTTTCTGATTCTGGAAGAAAACCGAAAACCAAATTGATGGCAAGCAGGAGTGATTTTGGAAGTCTTTTTTTTTTCCTGGTTATTGACATTTTTTTAACACAGTATCTCAAATTCTTTCTCCTACTTGCTCCAAAACAACTTAAAGATTAAGTTTATTACTGTTTCATGAATTTTAAGAATCTCTTTTACCTTCCCATAGAATGAGAGACTGGTGGCAGAAACTAAAACTGGGAAAGGACAAATAAAGGGAAAATACCTTGTGCCCTTAACAGATTTTATTGGATTGATTCAAGTTTTTCCTACTTTGAGTGGTGTGGTGGCCTAGAAGTGGAGCTCTCGCCTCACAATTGGGAGGATCCTAGGTAGAGGCAGGTATTTCTCTCTCTCTGGGCACACTGAGAATATATCTGCTGAAAGAAACTGCACTGGTGACAGGAAGAGCATCCGGCCAGTAAACACTCAGATCCATTCGGTTGCCCAGACTCCATCCTCCAAGGAATTATGGGAACCTTAAAAGAGGATGATGATAATTCAAGTTTTTCTTACTGATTGTTCCCTAGGAAAACACCACTGAGGTAAAACTGGGCCATACATTATCACTTCCGGCATATTACAAAGGAGCTTCCCGCATTCAAATTTCCTTGCTGGAAGCTGGAGATCATGTGACCAGGATGCTGCAACCTTTGTTGGTTGGCAAGCACACAAATTTTGATAACATGACTGGAGATGATGCAGTAGTTTTAAGAGTGAGGAGGACTGGTTTTAAGTAATTTTTTTCAGTGCAGTTGTCACTTTGAATTGTCACTAAACAGAACCATTTGTCAGTCAAGGACTACCTGTGTACAAATATGATTATCAACAAATACCACCTTCATCTTCATCAAGAAATTCATCTTCATCTGGATAGTCGTTACGCCAGTTGTTCTCATTATTCTCATCATCTTCGTCTTCATAGGTTTCTTCAGGGAGGTGCTCCTCATCCATCTGCATGTCAACACATAATATCACTGTCACGGAGGAAAAATGTGCTACAAGCACGTAACATGGGTCAGTCTGACCGAATGAAAAACAAGATATATGAGGGGAAAGCAATTAGCATCAGTAATCTTGAAAGTAGAGGCGTAAGAGTGAGAAAAACATGCAGTTGAAGCTTTTAAGGCAATGAGATACAGGTACCGCTTGTATTTTATTAGTTGAATCACTTCTAAATTACAAATTACAGTATGTTTTACAAAGAGGAAAGAAACAAGCCTTGCTAAATTTTATATTTCCTTAGAAGATGCTATTTTTGATTTACTTACCAAGTCAAAGTCTTGGGTGTAAGGTTGTACAGAGAGAATGTTCTCGATCCACCCAGGAGTAGCTGTTTCCGTACAGTAAATATCATAGACGTATTCGTCTTTATTTAAGCAATCCTCTGCTTCTTTACTACTGTCAGTTATGGTTAAACGTTCACGAATCATCTCTACAGAATTGCAGAGAATCACATCTGGATCTGATTTCTGTTAAGATTTACATGTTTTTTTTAGCAAACAGACAACTTAAAAAACAAAAAGTGACAGCTTACTTATTAGAATGTTATCCTGCCTTTATTTTTGGTCAATTCACAATGGCATGCATACCTTAACCAATATCTCATCCTGTTAACTCCCTCTCCCTTTCCTCTTCCATCCATCCATCTATTCATCCATTTATACACACGCATACAGAGTATATGGAATCAGATATACAACATCAACCCTGTTAAGGTTTCTAAACTTAAAACCTTTCCTCCAAATTAGCCTTTTCATACTTAATTGAAGAAAAAAGTTGGACTTTAAGTGTTTAATGTTTAAAGTACACTATTTCTTGACTTAAGACTAAGTTGGATAAAGGCAACTTATTAAAAATAAACTATTTGTTTCTTTCCCTATCTCTGAGCAAATATTTAATGAAACACTGTTTAATTGGGCAACACAGTATCTTTCTTACATAGTTAAATGTTCTTGTGAATTCTCAAGAATTAACTCACTTGTTACTATTTTGTGTTAAGTGAAGCCAATTTTGATAAAAGGATCCAAGAGAACACAATGTTTCATTTTTAATGTTAGATTCAATGCCAATGTAGGTAGTTTGTAATTCACAAAGAATTGAGGGGGACAGAGGACTTGTGGTACCAAAAGCTGCAATCCTTGTATTACTTAATCTTTTGATCTCATATTTATTATATTTTTGTCATCTCCAAATATGAACTTGCCAAGAAGGAACCTTTTTATAAAATGTCTTCACTCTATTTGACTGCTATTATTTAATTACGTATAAGGCTAGAAATACATAATTTTAAGGAACAACAATCAGCTGTCCACTAACTACAGTATTTGATCTTTTAATAACACCAGAAGCTTGGTAAAATGTACTTTTAAAAAACAGAACTCAAAAATATTGAGTAACTGATCAATGAACAGTTGCCATATCTTGTCCAAATTACCAGGCACCAGGCATTTTAAGGTCCCAATAAGATTAAATACCAGGGTTCGTAGACGACATCTAATGTCACAATTATAACAGCCTCTTTCTCCTTGAGGTCATTGTACCAACATAAATGAATCTACAGGCACTGTAGAATTTTAGCTGGGTTTTCCTTGTGTTGATGTTCTCTAGATAAGGTGGAACCTGTCTCTTGCTTGCTTTCCAAGCTGCTGAAGAGGCTATTGTGGCTGGAAGAGTGCCACACATCATAAAGGTGGCATAATGTCAAAAGGTATTTTAGCCCAGGACTATCTGAAGTCAAAGGGCAGTAGACTGTTGCAACACAATGTTCACACACTGCACTTTGCTCTGGGTTACTCTTGCTGTTTTTAGAACTTGCTTCTAAACCATAAAGTTTGACCTTGTTATGACTGGAAATGTGGACAATGTATGGCAACTTCTGTCACTGATCAGTTACTGGAAATATTACCTCTGAGTTTTGTAACAGCTGGATTCACAATGAAACCCAAACCAAACAAACCATATTATGCATTGATATTTGTATAGTATCCACTCCCTTAACAGCTCAGGACAGCTATTTAGATGCAGTTCAAATAGAATTAAATGCAGTTCAAATAGAATACAATTAAAGCAACTCTTAAAATATTATTAATACATTAAATATTTTTAATTAATGGAATAAAAAGAAACCCCATAAGCAAACAGGAAGTAAAGCAAAGTAATATAATGCATACATGCATGCATATATAAAACCATGGAATCCCTAACACAATTTTGTTATTTATAATTAATATTATTGCTATCACAAAGATTTTACACAGAGGTTAGGGTTGAAGTAAAAAAAAAATAAAGATGAGATTTGATTTAGTGATAGAAATAAAAGACAAAATAAAACAAAAAGTTTTAAAAAACCAAATATCCATTTTTCCTTCCTTTTCTTCCCAACTGCTATTGAAATATTTTATATTACACTTTAAATTTCTGCAATTATTCTTCATTTCGTTTAAATCATTTTTAATGTTTTGAAAAAAATATCATCTTCAAAATACAATTAAAATGTTGATGCAATGAAAACCATTAAAAGGAGTGTTGGAAGAATGTTTTGAGCCCCATCCTCCACCGTAATGAGGAAATTGGGTTCAACAGCAAATATTCCAGAATATGAGTCCTGCTATAAAAACAGGTGTAACCACATACGGTCCAATGCTTTTATAGTAGGACTCACAAACTCCTTAAACAATCTAAGATTATGAGATAGACTGTACAGGAGTTAAGAGGCCCTAGTGAAAAACATTATTCTAAACCTAAGATACATTATGAGCCAGCTTGTCGTTGGGATCGTTGTTACCGTGTTTGCATCAGTGGCTCTTATAGCAATAGCAACTTAGATGTATATACCGCTTCACAGTGCTTTTACAGATCCCTCGAAGCGGTTTAGAGTCAGCATATTTTGCCCCCAACAATCTGGGTCCTCATTTTACTCATCTCGGAAGGATGGAAGGCTGAGCCAACCTTGAGCCTGGTGAGATCTGAACTGCCAAATTAAAGGCAGCCAGCAGTCGGCAGTAGCCTGTAATACTACATTCTAACCACTGTGCTACCATGACTCTTATCCCATTTTAATACAGGCTTCAGATGGTCCGTGACTTAGTACTAACCTGTAAATGGGAGGAAGGTGTATCATTTTCCACATCCTCCTCCTGTATAATATCAAAGAACTGAAAGTCTCTACAGCAGCCTGAGGTACTGCCATTTTTGTCTTTCTCAGACATAGAAGACTGTTTCTTTTCATCAGATTCTTTCTCATTTGCTCTGAGAGCAGCATTTTCTCCATCACTGAGATTTGGACGGAGGCTAGTGACCAGGCGGTAACGGCTTTCCTGCCTTTTGGCTTGCTTTGAAGAACGAAGATCCTGAATTATTCTTTGAGCACTCCCTAGAGCAGGTCGCAGGATCCGGCCTCCTTTCTGTTGGGTAAAAGCTTCTTGTATGTATTTGTCAACAGGTTCAGCCTAAAAGACATTTTAAAGAAGTTCAGTTAGCACCCGGGATTAGAGCAGTGTTCCTCAATCTTGACAACTTTTAGGTGCATGGACTTCAACTCCCAGAATTCCCTACTCAGCACAATGTCTATGGAGATTCTCAGTCCTCCAGGTCATGGCTGTCCCAAAGGTGCTTTTTCAAAAGGTAACTGGGCTTTCTATATTTTTTTCTTTGAAGATGTTTTGCTTCTCATCCAAGAAGCTTCTTCAGAGCTGAAGAAGCTTCTTGGATGAGAAGCGAAGTCTTCAAAGAAAAACCAGAAAGTCCATTTGCCTCTTGAAAGAGCACCTTTGGGACACTCAGCATAATATCTCCTCTCTCATCCCTTAGGGTTTTCCAATAGAGAAAGACATCTATTTAAGATAAAAAAATATATTAAATATTGACACATAATTCTGGGATGTGCAAAATAAGTATATTTGGAATAGGGCAGGTGTCCTGGGGCAAGATCCCTGCTGGTTGTTGAGAACATTTTGAGTCTGAATGTTCTAATCTACAATATACTTGCTACACCCAACCTACTTTCTGTTTCTGCCCTAAAACAAAGCAGGATGTTTAAATGCAGTTCAAGATGCTCTAATAACCTCCACCCCACCAGGGGCAGGATGCAGGCCAATTCAGTCCAGCCTTGTGCAAAACCAATATAGAATAATAGGGCTAGAAGGGACCTTGGAGGTCTTCTAGTCCAACCCTCTGCACAAGCAGGAAAGTGTAACATTTCAGACAAATGGTTGTCTAATCTCTCTTTATAAACATCCAGCGATGGAGCACCCACAACTTCTATAGACAAGATGTTCTACTGATTAATTGTCCTCACTTGTCAGGAAGTTTCTCCTTAGTTCTAGGCTGGATCTCTCTTTGATAATCTTCTACCTGTTACTTCTTAACCTGCCCTCTGATGAAGAAATATATTCAGTGATATTTCCCCATGGCCTTTAACGATGACTGGGCTTCTTTTTTTTAATAAATATTTTACTGAACAAAACAATTAAAAACATTGAACATAGCGAAGTTGGTTTGACATAACTTTGGGTCTGTATCGCATGGATATATATATTCCTAGATACAATTATTCAAATATATACATTTGTTCGCTCATACATTATAATTTCTAACATCGTTGATCCTATTTTCATCTCATACATTCATTTGCCCTCTCAGCAACTCTCCTGTCCCAACTTAAGACTTTCCTTTCTGCTCCCACCAATGATAGAATCTATCCCAAATTTCATATGCCGACTCGTCTTTATTTTTCATCTCTAAAGTTAGCTTGTCCATTTCAGCACATAACGATGACCGAGCTTTTGATATCCCGTCCTTCATTGGAAAAGTTGAGATACCCAATGTTGAACTGTATATTGCAGTCAAACAACAGCACAGGAGATCTTTTATGGCATTTTGTATTATGTCACATCCTGCTTTATGGTAATGTTTATGTCATGCACTGTTTTATACTAGGTAGAGGCAGATATTTCTCTCTCTGGGCACATTGAGAATATATCTGCTGGGGGGAAAACTCCGCACTGGTGACAGGTAGGGCATCTGGCCAGTAAACACTTTGCTCCATTCAATTGCCCAGACTCCACCCTACAAGGGATTATGGGGTCATTAAAAGAAGATGATACACTTTGCAAAATGTCAATTCCACCGTAGTCATAGGTCCCAGATTTTGGACACCTTCTGTAAGTTAACCTATTTTGAGTTCCCTTGGTTCAAAAATTGTGACCCTATGATGCTCCATTTTGCCCAGGGAAAGATTACAAGAATAAAAATCACTCCTAAGTCCTCTGGACTTATGACCACAACTGGGCCCAAAATTTATGAGAAATTTGTGAAGCGAGCTTTGCCCCATTTAACAACCTTTCCTACCATGTTTGTTCAGGGAACCAATGCAAGTTGTTGAATTAGTACCAGCGTCGTTAAGCGGATCTGGCTTTCCCCCTTGACTTTGCTTGTCAGAAGGACGCAAAAGGGGAAATCACACGACCCCGGGGCGCTGCGACCGTCATAAATATGAGAATTTTGATCACATGACCATGGGAAACTGCAAAGGCCGCAGGTGGTAAGTCCCTTTTTTCAGTGCTTCGAATGGTCACTAAACGAACTGCTGTAAATCGAGGACTGCCTATATTTAGATCAGTGTTACTTCGCCCCTGGAAGACTTGGGGACCTCAACTCCCAGAATCCCCCAGCCAGCCGCGCTGAAACACACCCCAGTATTAACTTAAAAGATAATTAGAAACAGACATTTAATCTCCTCGCTAACTATCCCAGCCAAAACCCGCGAAGCCTCACCTCCGAGTTTACGGTGGCTACCAACTTGAAGAGAGTCTTCTCCACCTCGCCCTCTCCGGGCGAAGAGGAGGAGGAGGAGGCGGCCTCGGCGGCAGCCCCAGCCTCGCCGCGCAAACGCTTGCAGGCAAGGACCAGCGCCTCGACCGGCAAAGACCCACCGCGCTTTCTCTTTACGCGCAGCACGGCGGCCGTCTCCATGGCAACCGGACCAGGCCGCTCTAACCCGCAAGGGACTATGGGAACTTCTCTCGCCTGTCCTGCCGTCCTCGGCGTAATTTGTAGTTGATGTCGGCTCCGCGTCCCCGTTTGATGACGCCATCTACATTTCCTCGAGGGGCTGAGGTCTGAATGATTCCCTAGCCTAGCGCGACGTCCGTTTCTTCCAGGCAACAATAGTTTTAAATTATTATTAGTTTCAGTGGTGCTTTGCCCTGCCTTCTGAAGGACTTTGATGCAGTTAGCAAGAAAATTAAAAAAAATGTATAATCTTTAAAAACATTGAACGTGGTGGACTTCTTTGACATTGTTGTCATTAAAAAGAGCATCAGGAACAGAAAGGCAATTGTGCCACGATTTCCGCCCCGCTTGGACAGAGATCCTCTTCTAACCGGAAGTGTTATGAAACGGCGACGTTATACCTCTTTGTCCCCACAAGCCTCCAGCTCTGGCAAGCAAAGAGATTCGTTTCCCAACCAGTAAGGAAACTCCGCGCGTTGCATGCTGGGAAGATGGCGGCGCCCGGTGAGTGAAACGCGGACGGTTGAGCTCGTGGGTCGGCCGAGTGGGGTGGGTGGGTGGGTGGGGTGTCTCCCGTGGGAAATGTTACTCCCCCATTTCCCTCCCCTCGCTCTGAGCAGGGCATTTCGGTTCACCAGGGGATGAGAAGGCGGCTCGCTACGCCTGCCCTCTATTTGCTACCCCTCATGCCTCTGAGCATGCGTGGAGTTCGTTCCTCGGGTTCCCTGATCCAGAAAAGCAGGGTTCCTGGGCATGGGCAGATTTCCTGATCCTCAAAGAATGATTGAATGAATGAATGATACTACGAATCAGTTTTGTTTAGTTTAGTTTATCTTTCTTAACAAATAACAGATAATCAGAGTTGGAAAGGACCTTGCTGGTCATCTAGTCCAACCCCCCACCCAAGCGGGAGACCCTACACCATTTCTGACAAATGGCAGTCCAGTCTCTTCTTGAAAGCCTTCAGTGAAAGTCTCAAGTCTCTCTCTTTCTCCCTTTCTTTCCCTCCCTCCCTCCCTCCCTCCCTCCCTCCGTGTGTGTGTGTGTGTGTGTGTGTGTGTGTGTGTGTATTTTTGTCTGATGATCAAATCGACCCAAGTTTTCTTTTCTTTTTTATTCATTTAATCTAATGGATATAGCTGCCCATTTCATCGGCTTAAGTCGCATCATTCTGGATCATGTAACCACGAGGATGCTGCAGTGGTTGTTTGAAAACGGTCATATGTCACTTTTAAGTGTGAAAAACGGTCATATATCACTTTTTCCAGTGCTGTTGTAACTTTAAACAGTCACTAATGAACTGTTGTAAGTCAAGGACTACCTGTAAAAGGCAGCCCCACTATATATGTGCATAAATGTGACTGCCGAGTCATTCTTTTCAGTTCTTGGGTTAAATCTCATCCCAGAAGACCACAAGGCTTTGTTTTGATGTGACAATGGCATTACCGTTGTACGCATCATTTCCTAAACTGCAATTTCTTTTCTGTTGCAATAGGTTTTAGTTTATGTATCCAAAGACAGGATTTGTGTTAAAAAGAACCTTTCTCACAAATAACAAAACAAGACAGCCGGTGATGAAGGTTTTCTGTGGAAGAGCCAATCCGACAACTGGAGCCATGGAGTGGTTAGAGGAAGACGAGAATTATGATTACCACCAGGAAATAGCAAGGTCTGTTGGGATAGATATATATTAAAATATAATGTTATTAGTATATGAAATCAATATAGCATAGTGGCAGCTTTGTTTCAGGCCAAGATATAGCATAAAAACTGTTGGTTGAACTTCTTGACAGCTTTTGGAGGGAGAATTGGCAGTATATAATCTTACTGGTCCTCCTTGGTTTCTCAGCAACTTTTGATACCTTCATTCATGGTATTCTTATAGATCAGGGATGTCCAGCCTTGGCAAGTTAAAGACTTGTGGACTTCAACTGCCAGAATTCCCCAGCCAGTGTGACTGGAGAATCTTCAAGTTGTCAAGATTTTTGCACAAATTGCAACCATTCCTGAACAAACAAGTCTTACTCCTGGTCGTTGAAGGCTTGGCTTATCTCTCATCTGGACTTCTGTAATACAGTCTATATGCACTGTTCTTGAAAAGCATTCATAAATTGCACCTCATGCAAGTAGGTGTGATATAGACAATGATGGGTACATCTGGATAATAGTGGGTGACCCCCTGTTTGGGAACCGTATGAATCACTAGTTTTCTTATCGGTGCAATTCAGGATGCTTGTTGAGGCCTCATAGAGCTCTGAACCAGGTTATCTAAGGATACATCCATTCCCCACTCTTGATTTTGATCCAATTTTTATTCCTTTTTGAGCATGAGTCCTATTTCCTGTGTGCTACTACATAGGGTACTGTGCATAAATGTGATATTTCCCCCTGTCATTGTATAAGTAATGCAATCATTGTGCATTTATATTCGATAATATGCCATAATAGGAATTGTTCATCCTGCCATTTATTTAGCTCTTTTCTGATTATGTTGGCACTCCTTAGCAGCTTTCTGATTCTGTACTGTGTTTGACCTGAAAATTGAATTTTATTTACAGGTCCTGCTATGCAGACATGTTGAATGACAAGGACCGAGTAAGTTATTTATCTGTTTTAACCATGTTTTATTAGGGTTGAAATTCCTTATGTAGCTCCATGAACTCCCACTCTGTAGTGCCTTAAACTGTGAGGCAAAAAAACAAATTGTCTAAATGACACTGATAATTTCTAAAGAAAAAGTATTGAGTATCTGTTTTTTGCCTTCTTATTTTCAGATGTCTGTGTGCAATTATTGGAAATTTTGAATTTCAGATGTTTGGGGTAGTTTTTGTACTGTGGGCCTGGCACAGCCACATCTGGAATTATATAGAACATCTTTCAGAAAGTTTACCTTTTAATCCATTGTTTTGCAAATGCTCACAGATCTCAAAACCATCGTGGTAAGGCATATTTGTCCAGACCTAAGAAATAGGAATACACTGGTCCTTCTTTTTTTTTAACAGAACACCAAGTATTTTCAAGGTATTCGTGCTGCAGTTAGCAGAGTGAAAGAGAGAGGGGAAAAAGCCATTGTCCTGGACATTGGGACTGGCACTGGACTCCTGTCCATGATGGCGGTGACAGCAGGGGCTGATTTCTGCTATGGCATTGAGGTGAGCATCTTTCTCCCTTGTCTGTGAGTCATGCACACGGATCAATTGAGGAGACAGTTCTTGACTCTGTGAATGAAAAAAAAAAGTTCTGTCATTGTTCCATATGAAGCTCAGAAAGGTTTTTTTCTCTGGTTAGTCCATATTCTTGAATGTTTCTTGAAGTATGATTGTTAAAAGGGTTTACATCCCTGCTTTATCGTTGCTAGTATAGTGCTTGAGAATCCTTTGCCATGTTTCCAGGGATATTTATTGAGCAAAACCCCTGCAAATTCTGAGCGTGTTGAACTCTTAATTCTAATTCAAAGGAAGCCATTAGCTTTCTCTCTTTTTTTTTTGCTTTTTTGCCATTCAATCCTCAGATTTTAGCCTTCCTGTTAGTTGATAGTCATAAATACTTGTATAGGAGCATCATCTTCTGAATCTGAACTATTCAGAAGATGACTCTCCTGTGCAGGCCCTCTTCGATTTATGACAATTTAATGACGTTTTTCTAGTCCCAACGGGAATATGTATGTGTGTATGAATATATGTAAATCATGTAGCAGGAAAGGATTAAGATAAAAGCATCTACTGTTGCTGCCAGCCTTCTAAAAACCCCAGCTGATTCCACAGATGCTGAAATACCATTTTTATTGGGAGACTACCCAATCTATAACTTCCTCTAGTGAGCTCTCCAAGGTCCTGAAGATGCTTTATTAATGCTCTCTCTTTTTCGGAGCATTCCTTGTGACTCCCAGCATTTAATTTCTTTTCTTGAGGTTCTAGACTGGGGCACTTTGGATGTGAATTGATTTTCAAACTTGAAAGGCAGAATGTTGTGCCATGCATGCATACCAACTTTTGAAGAAAGATGATCGCATTACAGTCTGAAAAATGTGATTCATCAGATATGTTATTCTTGCAGACAGTAAAGAGAGAATGTTGGAGAGTGTCTGTAGTAGATGTTCAGGAGCTCTTGCATTCAAAATATAAAAGAAATATGTGGGATAGTGAAAGCTGCTTATAGTTTCTAGTTTCTTTGGTATACTGCCGTTGTAGTCTTTCTCAACCAGTAAATCCAATTAATATTTTAATATATGGATGCACACTTTTTTTCCTTGGGACCAAGGCTACAACTGAACTGTATGCTAGGGATTATGCTGAAAAGTAGTGAGTGGGACCAAGTTAAAAACTCAACTTGTTTTGATTTGGTTTACAATTAAATGTTGTTAAAATTAAATACAGCAAGTATGATTACTTTCTAGTCATGCAATAATAATTCCTTATTCTTTAAAAATAATAATCTGATGGTTACATTGGATGGCTAAGCCCCAAGTTTTCAAAGATCTCGTTCTGCTTTGCTTACTGCTCCTATTTTAGAATAACAATAGCAATAATACCTAGACTTATATACTGCTTCATAGTGCTTTGCAGCCCTTGCTGAGTGGTTTACAAATGTCAGCATATCACCCCCCAACAATCTAGGTCCTCATTTTAACAACCTCAGAAGAATGGAAGGCTGAGTCAATCTTGAACCAGCCAGGATCGAATTCCTGGCAGTGGGCAGAGTCAGCCTGCAGTACTACATTCTAACCATTATGTCACCAATAGCTTCGATTTTATTTTTGAGGATTTGATTTAAGCACATCATCTAATTTGCATCCCTTACTGTTGTCCAGAGGGAAGATATCACATAAGGACCCATTTTTAAGCAGGAGATCAACTACTTAAGGAGATAAACTCCTTAACTAAGGAAATAGAGGGGTTAAAAATAGAAAGCACTTCTCTCCTTCCCAGTATTTTCTTGAGCAATTTTTATCCAAAGATTTTACAAAATCCATGC